GAAACAAACCCAGGCAGATAAAGTCATCTGACCTTGACAAAGGCAAACAAAGGAGCCCTTGTAACAAAAGGTGCTGGGAAAACTGGAAATCCGTACATAGAAGAATGAAACCGGATCCCTATCTCTCAACTGCACAAAAGTCAACTCAGAATGAATGGGAGATCTAGGAGTTAGACCAGAGACTTTACAACTCCCAGAAGAAAACACAGGCTCAGTGCTCCAACATATGGGTTCATTAGAACCCTAAAAGAAATAATACCAACAATTAATAAACAGGATGGCATCAAATGAAAAAGCTTTTACACAGCAAGGGAAATAATTAAGAATGTGAAGAGAGAATCTTCAGAATGAGAGAAAATCTTTGCTACTCTACTCTACTACTTAATCTCACTCCTGTTAAAATGGCAATCATTAAGAATGCAAATAACAATAATCACTGGTTTGGAGGTAAGGAGAAAGGAACACTTGCACACTGTTGGTAGGAATATAAATTTTGCACAGCCACTGTAGAAATCACTACAGAGATTCCCCAAAAATCTATGAATGGAACCACCATAGGACACAGCTATACCACGTCTTGGAATTTATTTAAAAGAACTAAAATAAACCAATAAAAAATTCAAAAGAACTAAAATCAGCATACATAGTGATATGTACAGTACAATAATTCACGGTAACCAAGTTATGGAATTATGTAGGTGTCTGTCCATGGATAAATGGATAAAGAAAATGTAATGTATGTGCATGATGGAGTTTTATTCAGTCATAAAGAGGAATGAGATAAAGCCATTTTAAGGGACTTGAATGGAACTGAAGAGCATAATGTTAAGTGAAATATGCCAGATTTGGAAAGTCAAGGGTTATATGTTTTTCAATCATATATAGAAGCTAGAGAGGGAAAAAAAGTAGAAGGGAGCTCTTTTGGAAATGGGAGGGGTTGAGAAAAGGGGTTAGTGGGAGGAGGAGGTTAAGGCAAGAGGAGGTACTGCAGAATGAAGTCTATGAAATCTACATTGTAAATGATAATGATAGCCTAAAAGACCAAAAACCACATGACCATTTTTAATAGAGGTAAATGCATTTGACAAAATTCACATGCATTAGGATGGAAACCCCCCAAAATGAGATACAGAAGGAATGTACCTCAGTGCAAGAAATGCAATATAGACAAACCATAAGTAATACATATTTGAACAGGAGGAGGTGAAAGCTTTTCCTGTCATTTCCAGACCAATACATGGATACCCACACTTGCCACCACCACTGAACACACCTCCAGAAGGAAGTAAAGATAAAGAAAGAAAATCCATTAAAATTCGGTGGGGGGGAGGGATGATACATTATCCTGTGTGCAGATGACAAGATTTTATGTGCAGAAAGCTCAAGAGATCCACTGAAAGAATGAATATATGAATCCAGCCAAGTTACAGAATACAAGGCTAATATCCACCAATTGGTAGCGTTTCTATACAGTAGCAGTGAAGTGCCTGGAAAGAAACCAAGAAAAAAATAACTATAAAATAATAAGTACAAATGGTCTCTAGGAAAGGGGAAAGATCTCTGTGTTGAAAAGCATAAAACATGGATGAAAAACACGGAAGTGAAAAACTAAATAGAGAAATGCTATGTTCTTGGATTAGAAGAATTAATATTGTTAAAGTTTCCCTAATATCTAAAGTGATTTGCAAGTTTAATGCAATCCCCATCAAAATCCAGATTATATTTTTCAATTCCATAGAAAAATATTTAAATGCTCTTAAAAAATCACAATCACTAAAGCAACCTGGGGCCAAAGGCAATGGCTAGAAAACAAACAACCCAATTTAAAAATAGAAAAAGACCTCAGTGGACTTTGCTTAAAAGAAGACACGAAAATGCCAATATCACCAGGCATCCAGGTAATGCAAATCAAAACCAGTATGAGACAGCGCCTCACACCTGTGACAATGCTTCATCAAAAGGTGGAAGATAACTGTTGATGGAGATGTGGAGAAAAGGAAAGCCGTGCAGGCTGTTGGTGGGGTTATAAATCAGTACAACCAACAACCAAAGTAGCTAGGAATGCAGAGGTCCCTCAGAAAGTTAAACACAGAATTGCTGAATGATGCAGCAACCTCACCATGGGATATCTGTCCACAGGACATAAATTTAACATATTGAAAACACATGTGCTTTCCCATGTTTATTGAGGCACAATTCATGATAACCAAGATTGGGAATCAACCTAAGAGTCCATCTATGTATACATAACAGGATAAAGAAAACGTGCTGTGTGTGCAGACAGACAGACACACAGACACACACACACACACACACACACACACACACATAGGAGGGTATCTCTCTCTCTCTCTCACACACACACACACACACATACACACACGCACGATGGTACTTAGGCATAAAAAAGGAAATCCTGTCATTTATGAGAATGTGGATGAACCTGGAGGATATTATATTAAGAAAGATAAACCAGGGACAAGAAGGTCACTACTCACTCATGGAATTTTACAAACTTGATCTCAGTAGAAAACTAGAGCAGTTGAGGGTGGTGTTGGGGGAGAAATACTGGTCACAGGAGACAAAAGTCCAGTTAGACAGGAAGAGTAAGTTCAAGAGAAGTGCTCTCATGTGGTGACTCTAGCTAATGATTTGTATTCTTGAAAAATTCGGAGTGGATATTAAATGACTTACCACAAAAATGACACCAATATGAGGTAGTGTATATGTTAATTTCTTAGATTTAACAGTTTTTCAGTGTGTGATGCTTCTAAACAGAAGGTCATACACAATAAACACCATCCTGTCCATTAAAAATTATGAAATTCAAAAACAACAAAAATAATTAAGAAAAAGGAAAGGATGGAATTCTTTCCACTCATAACATTGTGGACACCAATGATCCATTCAATCTCCAAAGACAATTTAAGGGAGATGTCATAGAAAGTTCCTAGGATTGTGTCCTTGTAGAAATTCCTCCTTCCTTAGGGGACAACTTGTGACTTTCAAACCTGACAAAAATCAGTGAGTTTGCCATTTCTTAACTGATTGGGCATAGATAAATACAAAATTTACTGAAAATTTTCCATTCTGCTATCTCCTTCATACTCCAAGGGAGCAGAATTATTTGGATCTGGAGAGATAATAGAACAATCTAGTTAATTAGGAGCTCTGAGAATTCCACACTTGAGAGGACAGAAACCTTAAACATGGCCCTGTTGGCCTTCACCTGTGATTCTCAGATGCAGCCTCCTTGAAAACCCAAGTGGGCTTCCCTGGGAGAGAGAGGGGGGAGAAGAGAATGCATCAGCCTTAGCTCTCAGAGCTAGTGGGTCACAGTGAGGCTAGGGAGCAAGGAAGGGGCGTGGGGAGGACCTGGATCCTGGGCTCTGCTCCAGAATGAGGATACTGGGATGCCCCAGACTTACCTACTCTTTGAAGCTGTAATCCCTGCACCTTGAAGGAATTTTAGCCATTACCTGAGCTATTTTATCACAAAACATACCTATCCAAGAGCAGAAAGAGCAAGAACACTCTCACACATGCATTGTGTTTGAGTTTAATTGAGTATTATTTTCTCCTCCTATCTATGTGGTCCACATTCTTATTCCTCATGTTGGAAGAGTTCACCAGACAGGCATTCTCTGAAAGTAGGAGCCATGAGGATCTCCATTAATTAGGAATGCTGTACAGTGATCCTAAGGTAATAACTATTATATTTTTGGGGTGTGTATTTTTATTTTTTAAATTTTGTTGCATTTTAGTTTATTTATTTATTTATTTTTGTTTTCAGGGACACTTAATCACTGAGCCACACCTCCAGCCCTTCTTATTATTTATTTTGAGAAAGGGTCTTACTAAGCTGCTCAGGGCCTTGCTAAGCTGCTGGGGCTGGCTTCGAACCTGTGATCTTCCTGCCTCAGCTGCCTGAGCCACTGGCATGACAGGTGTGTGCCACTGTGCCTGGCAGGTTTGTTGTATTTATGATGATCATCATTTCATCCTGATTGCTGCCTGACTTAAGGGGATGTTGCTAAATGATACTCATGCAGGAAAAATGTATTGTGATGTTAAGAATAGAAGTTCACATTTAAGTATTCATCAAATGTCTCAGGAACCACAATAGAACAATTATATCATCATGTCATTACATTTCTTTATTGGTCCTATCGTGTAGGAAATATTTACTACTACTACTGGAGAGATGAAGCATTCATAACTAATAGAATTTAGATGACTTTCTCAAGGTCATACATAATAAGATGGGTAGGCAAAAATCTACTTCAGGAAGTCTGACTCAAGAACTCAAGAATTTTGCAGATCAAGCTCTATTCTGCTTGTTGAGAGAGCTACTTATACAAAACAATCATCATAAAGTAGAATAATAAAAATAATAACAACAGGTATCACTTATTCTGAATTCCACTGAATAGGAATTTTTAAATTTAAAAACAAGAAATAATAATAATAATAATAATAATAGTATCTTTAGTTTAAAATAGGTAGTGACTTAGCAATCACACTATTAGGAATTACTAAGTCATAGAATAAATGTTGTTATTACTTCTAAGTCCATGCTTTATTATTATAATAGAGCTATTTCAATTAAGGAAATGTGGGGATTATCAAGGAAAATATGAAATTTGTTCAAATATTCTGGATGGGTCATAACAAAACAAAATTATCTCATTTTAAGTTATTTCATTTAAAATTTTAAAAAGGGAATTGAAACAGGTGAGTAGACATAAAATGAGAGATTTCTGCTGAATTAAAGAAAGTCTGGATTGTTATAGACATGCAAAAGTGAAGTGAGTTACCATTTAGCTACATGAATCACTATGGGAAGGAATCAGGCATGCCAAAGGACGTCCACCTGAGGGTGACATTGTGAAGGGAGGATTACTTGATATCCAGTTGTATTGTTTTTATTTGATTGACCTTTTAACTTTGCTTGTTTGTGTTTAACTTTTGTTGATTTCTCAAGGGGAATAGACAGCTTCATGGAAGTGGAGAACCACACAGTCCTATCACAGTTCCTCCTCCTGGGACTGTCAGAGGATCCAGACCTGCAGCCTATCCTGTTTGGCCTCTTCCTGTGCATGTACCTGGTCACAGTGCTTGGGAACCTGCTCATCATCCTGGCTGTCAGCTCTGACTCCCACCTCCACACCCCCATGTACTTCTTCCTCTCCAACCTGTCCTTTGTGGACATCTGTTTCACCTCCACCACGGTCCCCAAGATGCTGGTGAACATCCAGGCACAGAGGAAAGACATCTCTTACACAGAGTGCCTCACTCAGGTGTATTTTTTTATGTTTTTTGCTGGAATGGATAATTTCCTACTGACCGTGATGGCTTATGACCGCTTTGTGGCCATCTGCCACCCCCTGAATTACATGATCATCATGAACTCTCACTTCTGTGTCCTCCTGGTTCTGACATGTTGGCTCATCATCTTCTGCAGTTCCCTGCTTCACATTCTACTGATGAAGAGGCTGAGCTTCTCTGTAGGCACTGAAATCCCACATTTCTTCTGTGAATTAGCACAGGTTCTCAAGGTGGCCAGTACCGATACCCTCATCAATAACATCTTCTTGCTTGTAGCAACAGCACTCCTCTGCGTGTTTCCCGTCACTGGGATCCTCTTCTCCTACTCTCAGATTGTCTCCTCCTTAATGAAGATGTCCTCCTCTGTGGGCAAGTCTAAGGCATTTTCCACCTGTGGGTCCCACCTCTGTGTGGTCTCCTTGTTCTATGGAACAGCACTTGGGGTTTACCTCAGTTCTGCTGTGACCCGTTCTTCCAACAAGAACACAGTCATTTCAGTGATGTACACTGTAGTCACCCCCATGCTGAACCCCTTCATCTACAGCCTGAGGAACAAGGATGTGAAGGGGGCCCTGGGGAGACTCCTCAGCAGAGCAACCTCTGGTCCTTGAGGGACACTGACCTCAGAACTATGTGGATGCTTGGGTCTCTGAGGCAAAGGCTGTGAGTTTACATAGCATGACCCTTTTCTCCCCTGAAAAACATGCTTCTTCCTATTTCCATTCCAGAAACACCTTTGACTTTGCTTGTATAAGAGTTTGTATTGGTTTCTCCTCAACCACTTCATCAGTACATCCTTTGTAAGTTTTCTCCCCCCAGATGTCTTTAATCTATGGGGTTCTTAATCTAAAGATGCCTTCTACTTGGGTCAGTTTTTGTCCTGAGCATTCTAATCTGATATTTAAAGCCCGTATCATGGCACATGCCGATACTCATTGCACCCACATTTTCCTTTTGAATGTGAAGCTTCTTTACCTTAAAGTGCTTAACCTCTTCTTCCTGAAGGAACTGGTATGAAGTCATACAAGTCAAAGGAAAATGATTATCATTTCACGACTGTGGTTGTCACTTGACTTGTGTGACTTTATTCATTCTGAAAAGATTTCTTTGAGACATTTTCTGTCTTTCACATAGTTTCTGAATGAAAGAGACTTGGATTAGAATGGGGTATTATGGGACCCTGAAACTGAGTACAGACTTCTGATATTGTTCTGCTACCTTTTGTAACAACAGTGATTAGATTTTGGACAAGGAACCTGGAATCTGGGAATCTTTGAAAGCTGGCTTGGTCCTATGAATCATGATGATAAAATGCCTAGGAGAACACTGAGACATTGCTTCATTCTTTGTGATACCCCGTTTTTTTTTCCCTTCTTCCATATTTCCTTCCTTCCCACATTGCTTCCTTTCTTCATTCCTTTTGGCTGTTTTACTGATTAATATTATTTTTCTCTTCTTCCTTTTCATGACTAATATTTCAGTGTAAGTATGCACCACAAATTGTTTATCCATGTATCCAATGATGACCATTGGGGTAACTTCCTTGGCTCAGTTCTTAACAATAGGGATCCCGTGGATAGCACGCACACATTTTTGTTTGAATACAGGTAAGTGCTGCATAATGACATTTCAGATAATGACAGACCCCATATTTGTGTGACGGTGGTCCCATTGCATGATATTACCCCAAAGTTTTGTATCCATCTGAGTTTTTGTGAGAACACCTGATGTTTGTACAAAAAATAAATGTCCTTATAATGTCTTTCTCAGATCTACCCTCATTGTTAAGTTAAGCAACACACGACAATATTGTTTTTAAATAATTTGGCCTATATATATATACACAAGTAGGACCATGGGGTCACATGATAATTGGGTATTTAACTTTTTGAGGCATTCTCAAACTATTTTTAATATTACCTGGTACATTTTATATTCTAACATTTAAAGATCCAGATTTCATCATATCCTTGCCCACACCTGTTATTTTCATCCTATAAACCAAATAGCTCCCAATGTGTTCTAAAGTGCTGTCTCATTCTACCTTTAATTTCCATTTCCCTGTGATGTATTAGCATCTCTCTAGAAGTTTGTTGGAAGTTTAAATATTGTCAGTGGAAAAACTTCTTTTCAAGTCTTTTCATTTGGTAATTATATAGTTTGTGCTTGTGTTTCTGACCTGATTTTTTTTCTGTACACTTGATCTGGATAAGTGTTTTATAATTTTTCCCCATTGTTTTTGGGGGAATTTCAATATCCATCTTTTGATATATGATAAATAAAACCAGACAAAAATAATGGGTTTTTGAGTACAAATATCAATAGTCATGATCTATATAATATTTTTACAATATGTTGCACAGAAAATTGTATTGTATCATGTTTTCTACTGCAATTTAAAAAAAAACAACTATAAACACTGTTGAGAGGAACTAAACAAAACTTAAACAGGAGATTTGATGAGAAATAAGGGCATATATATTATAGGTATAGAATATTGCCTAGCCTTTGGTAATAACTCAACAAATGGTAACTGATTTTAGTATTTCCAAATAAAATTCTTTTGTATGTTTAATGTTTTTTTATTAGAGTATTATAGTTACACATCATAGTGAATTTTATTCCAACATACAAGCATGGAATATAAATAGCTCCCGTTCAGTTCCCAGTACTTCCTTTTCCCTCCCCTCCCCCCTCTCCCTCTTCCCCTTCCTCTACTCCTGGTCTTTATTCTCTTTATTCATTGTTTTCTGAATTGGTGCTTCATAGATACACATAAAGGTGGAATTCACTGTGATGTATTCACATGCATATATATATATATATTCACATATGTATACACACACACAGCATAACATAGTCAATTTTATTCCACTTCCTCCCTTTTTCCATCCTTCTCTCTCCCTCTCAAAGCCCTTCCTCTACTCCACTGATCTTTCTATTTTTATGGGATTCCCCTTTTTTTCTTTATTGTATTCTAACTTCCACATATGAAAGAAAGCATTCAACATTGATGGTCTGAGTTTGGCTTACTTTACTTACCATGATGTTCTCCATTTCCATCCACTTACCAACAAATGTCATAATTTCATTATTCTTTAGGGCTGATTAGAACGCCATTGTGTATGTATACTGCAATTTCTTTATCCACCCATCTGTGGGTAGCTACCCGGACTGGCTCCATAACTTGGTTATTGTGAATTGTGATGCTCTAAACACTGATGTAGCTGTGTCCCTATAGTTTGCTGATTTTAGGATCTTTGAGATATATGCCAAACATTGGAACAGCTGGGTATGTTGTTTCATTCCCAGTTGTTTGAGGAATCTCTATACTGCTTTCCAGAGTGGCTGTACTAATTTCCAGCCCCACCACCAATGTGTGAGTGTACTTTTTCTACAAATCTTTGCCATCCTTTGTTATTATTTATGTTTTGGGTGATTACCATTCTAACTGGAATGACATGCAATCTGTGTAGTTTTTATTTGTGTTTTCCTGACTGCTAGGGATATTGAACATTTTTGCACACATTTTTTGGTCATTTGTCTTTTTTAATCTTATGATGTGTCTGTTCTTTTGCCCATTTTAATTAGTTTATGGTGTATTTTTTGGTGTTAAGTTGTTTGAATTTTTTATATATTCTAGTTATTAATCCCTAGTCAGAGAAATACCTGGCAAAGAGTTTATCCTCTATGTAGGCTCTTTCTTCACAGTCCTAATTGTTTCCTTGGCTGAGCAAAAAACTTTTTAACTTGATGCCATTCCACTTAATCATTCCTAGTTTTATTTCTTGGGTTTTAGGGGTCTTGCCTGGTACAGTCAATGCCTGTGGCATTATGTTGGAATGCTGACCCTATGTTTTCTTCTAGTAGTTGCAGAGTTTCTGGTCTAATTCCTAGGTCTTTTGTTACTTTGATGTGACTTTTATGCAAGGGGAAAGATAGGTATCTGGTTCCATTCTTCTGAATATGCATATCCAAGTTCCTAGCACCATATTTTTAAAAGGCTATCTTTTTAAAAAATTTATATATGATAGCAGAATGCATTACAATTCTTATTACACATATAGAGCACAATTTTTCATATCTCTGGTTGTATGCAAAGTATATTCCTACTAATTCATGTCTTCAAACATGTTCTTTGGACAATAATGATCATCACTTTCCACCATCATTTCTAACCCCATGCCCCCACCCTTCCCCTCCAACCCCTCTGCCTAGAGTTCATCTATTCCTCCCATGCTCCCTCTCCTTATGCCACTATGATTCCACCTCCTTATATCAGAAAAAAACATTTGGCATTTGGTTATTTGAGATTGGCTAACTTCACTTAGCATTATCTTCTCTAACTCCACCCATCTACCTGGAAATGCCATGATTTTATTCTCTTTTATTGCTGGGTAATATTCCATTGTGTATACATGCCACATTGTTTTTATCCATTCATCTACTGAAGGGCATCTAGGTTGGTTCCACAGTTTAGCTATTGTGAACTGTGCTGCTATAAACATTGATGTGGCTGTGTCCCTGTAGTATGCTGTTTTTAAGTCTTTTGTGTATAGACCTAGGGAGGGATAGCTGGGTCAAATGGTGTTTCTATTCCTAATTTTCCAAGAAATCTCCATACTGCTTTCCATATTGGCTGTACCAGTTTGCAGTCCACCAGCTCTGTATGAGTGTCCTTTTCCCCACATCCTTTCCAACACTTACTGTTGTTTGTATGCATAATAGTTACTGTTCTGACTGGAGTGGGATGAAATCTTAGAGTGGTTTTGATTTGTATTTCTCTAACTGCTAACAATGATGAACATTAAAAAGGCAATCTTTTAAACATATGTTTTGACACCTTTCTCAAGTATCAGATGCCTGTATATATGTCTTCTATTCTATTCCATTGGTCTTTCTGTCTGTTTGTTGCTAGTTTTATACTATTTTTCTTACTATAACTCTATAGTATAATTTGAGATCAGGTATTGTGATCAGCATCACTCTTCTTGGTCAATATTGCTTTGTCTATTCTGTATGATGGTTTTCCATTTTTTTGAAGTATATAACTTATTGATATTAACTATACTCATCATGATGTACAATATAACTTTTGTGGGTATTTTGGGGTTTGTTTGTTTGTTTTAGTATTGGAGATTTAACCTGGTATGTGTTCCTCTATGCCTGGCTCATTTCTCTTATCATAATGTCATACATGTTCACCCAAGTGGAAGGTAATGACAGGTTTTCCGTCTTCTTATTCCTGGATCATGTATGTTTGTGATGATGAATGCTTAGGTTGAGTCTACACCTTGCTTATTGTGAATAATGCTATCATAATAATGGGATCGGACACATATTTTGAACACTGAATTTGGGTCATTTGGATATGTACACAGTAGGGAATTTGCTAGATCATATGGCAGTACTGTAATATTTTGGGGGAACCTCCATACTTTTTTTTCTATTTTCTCCAACAGTGTTCAGCAGTATCCCTCTTCTTATACACTCATCATCACTTCTTCTGTGTTTATAATAAGACAAATTCTAACAGGTGAGAAGTGATAGCTCATTGTGATTTTAAATTAATTACCCTGGTGATGAAAGAAAATGAGCATTTTTTTTCATA